TGTTGCACATAAAATATTAATGTTTAGAACAGTGCAAATACAAACACCATGAGAAACTCATAGTTCAGCATCACACACCATGATATGGGTTCAAATGAGAGCCCATTTCTCTCCAAAACGGTGCCAGTTTTAGTGTTTTGCAATAAATAAATAAAAATAACTAAACTTGATAATTTATGTTACAATTTTAACATAAATGCACATTGTTCTAGAAGGATGGCATCATGCCATACCTTTTACACATTTACTCGAATTGTTATGCTGATAATACAATTTGTAAGGAAAAATGCATTAAATAGCGAGGTATTTCTGGGGAAACTTTTTCAAAGGAAAACACACACACACACACACACACACATGTCTCTTTGCTGAGCCGCGGCGGTCTCGGTGAATCAGCAGCATCCACAACTGAACAGAACAAAAAGTGTTGAACTTGAAAATTGTTTATGTGCGAGTGCACTTGCTAACTGAAGGCGGATTGTATAAAATGGATTTTTTTAAAAACAAGCTGCAGTTTTATTACATCACGCGCTGGCACAGATGCAGTATATTAACGCCACGGGTCATCAATAAGGTGCAGATTTGGTCCATGATAAACAGTTGGTGGTTAAAGTTTTCTATGCACAATTTGATTTGACAAAAGTCACGAGACCTATTACTCTCTATCCAGTCACGTTGATGGATAAAAATAAAATTCAAATAAGCATGTAACGACCACAAACGGAGGAAAACAGCAGAGTAAAAGTACCGATACATCACTTAAAATGTACTCAAGTACAAGTAAAAGTACACAATTTTTAAACTACTCAAAAAAGTACAATTACTGATAAAAACTACTTAATTACTGTAACGTGAGTATTTGTAAATCGTTACTTCACACCCCTGGGTATGTGTTATCTATAAACAAGTAGTTACACCATGTGTTAATCAGGCGGGACACAGCAAAATATTAACAATGCACTAATAACATTCTCAGAAAGCCAATGATAGTTTTATTTTTGTTGACTAAAATTAAATGCCATTACAGTTAGAGTAAAGTGAGAAAAGTGGTAAAGCAAACTTACACATGTGGCAAACTCTTTACTTCAGGGACAGCAAGGTACTGTCCTCCTGAATACTCTGAGAAGGGCGAGTACTATGCGAACGACGTGGTCGCTTTTCCCAGACAGCAGCGACATCGGATGGATGGATCGGACACTTGCAATTCTTAATCACACAAAACAGAAAAAAACAGTGGCTTTATAATGGATAATGCAGGAGTCTCTCCCAGTTTTACAGCTGAGAGAGCAAGTGTAAAGTTGAAGAACACTGATTACGTTCAGTAGACAGCGCGCGCATGCTGAACGTAAACAACGCTGATTACGTTGATTACGTTCTGGGGTACTCTCCAAAATGGCTCCTGACGGTAACTCTGGGAGACGAATTTTCATTTTTGGGTGAACTAACCCTTTAAAGGTACACTTCGCTCCATCTTTTTGCACAGAATGCTGCCTTTTCATTCGAGGTTGCCTGAAGAGTGACCCAGAGTGGAGGATTCAGGAGGAGACGCACTTCCATGACTGGTTCAAGGTAAGCTAAAATGATTTTGAAGATATCATGTTTCTTTTTTGCCTTTTTGTTGGTTTGATTATCTGAATATGGACATGAGCTTCTTTACACAACCTTTCATTAACTGCTGCAACTCTCATTCAGTCAAACCTTATATACTACACAGATGACAAGTTGTATTTTTAAACCTTATGAGGTACGTTTGTCTAATTTGTATAATTTCTAATTGTGTTGTAGGTCCCCCTGTATGTGATGGAGGAGAGGGTCAGCTTTGTATCTGGTTGGCTGACAAGGGTCCATCTCTCCAGCCTTAGCGTCTTGCGGGGCTGGTTGACTTTGGTTGCGACTGGCTTCTTGGCTTGAGGCGGTAGATTTAGCGTCTTGCGGGGTTGGTTGGCTTTGGTTGCGACTGGCTCCTTGGATTGAGGCGGTAGATTTAGCGTCTTGCAGAACTTCTTGCCTAGGGATGTTAGCTAAGTATTGCATCATCCAATCATATTTTTAATAATGGAGTCACCCTGAGCTCCCTGTCAAGCCCCTCTCACTGCCGCTCCAGAAGTTCCTGCCACTGGCGTCTGGATCCCAGAGATCCGTGTCACGGATACATGAGAGCACTCAGTCATGGCACACAGACCCCCCTTTCTCAGCATGCTTTGGGTTCAGAGATCTTGTCAGGGCCGCACCAGAAATGCCTGTTAAGGCTGCCATAAAGGTTCCTGTCACTGCTCAAGAACCTGCTGAGGCTCCAGAGAGGGTCCTGACTTGAAAGTCCCAGAATGCCCATTTCACAGCTCTGCTGGTACCAGAGGTCCCTCAAACTGCCGCTTCCTGCCACAGGCAAACGGGAAGACGAACTATGTACTAAGTAAGACATCCTAATATTCATGCATATGAGTTACATGAAACCTCCACTGGATGGAGACAGAGTCTGATCTTCTAAACCTTCGGCACACAAGGCTAAACCATACAGACGTGTGCTTCAGTTAACATGAGATGGGTGGAGCAAAACTGCTTTCCCTCCCACATCATGACCTTCTCCACCCATAACCTCCATTTACATTGACAGTCAGAGAGTTACAGCATAATTCTGCTCCACAGAGAGGGAGGGAGAATCACCTGACTTTAAAGGGCACACTTATATGTGGAGATGTGGGAGGATGTGATTGTTGTTTTCTTTCATGCTAGCTGCCACAGATGATTCTCGCCCAGAGTTCAGTAAAGTGTTGCGTCCTCCACAGTGATAACTGATAGCAGAACGGCCCGAACACTCTCGTGAGCTCACAGCATTTCATTACTATGCACAAGAGATGTATGATTGATTTATGTGGAAACAGGGCACTTTATAGCACTGAAAGCCTCTCACAGTGTTTGGGTTTTGGAGATTGATGAAGGGACAAGCTCATAGCAGCGAGCGGAGAATACTGAAGAGAGTCGTGTCTCAAGACGCAGATGTGCAGAAATGGCTCAGGCTTGTTTTGAATGGTGACTCCTGAAATGTTTAGAAAACTGGAGGTGAAATCTATCTATCTATCTATCTATCTATCTATCTATCTATCTATCTATCTGTCTATCTGTCTATCTATCTATCTATATCTGTCTGTCTGCTGAAAATTTACAGCTGTATTCTTTGCATTCTATACTTTCTTTAAATTTGAAGTTGCTACCTCAATTCAAAAGGGACAGATTTGGAAATAAAGGCATTATGTTCAGTTGAATTCAGAATGCTTAACAACCCTGCTATATCACACACAGTGGACACAGAGAACTGAATTTATGTGATCTTAAAAGCACTTTTCTCTGAAGGCCTGTGCTCAATTAAAAATGGAACTGGATGAGTTTGTCTGGATAGGAAAAGCATGCAGCGAACAAGGGTCCAGGATACATGTTAAATGCTGGGAATACTGTGAAAGTATCCCAGGATGCACCTCTTCAGAAAAACCTTGATTGAATGTGCAGAGTTTTAATCTACATAACATATATTTATGACCTACCTCAAGTCATTTTAATTAAGGTCTGTTTTCATAGAAGTGCTTGGAAGTGCTGTATACCATTAACGTTGCAGCAGCCCATAATCATATTTAAGGTTATTCTGGATGATAGGACTGCACTTCTGTCCTTGAAGTTGGATGATTATTCCTTTTGGGCTGGAATCGATTCAGTCAGTGTAGAATGCATGTACTTGATGTATAGGTGCTTCTGTTCTGTGATGTCTGTCCTGTTCTGAATGTCAGGACACCAAAATGATAATCACAACTAGATTTGAATACTTTCTGAGGAAAACGTGAGCGGTGGTTTTAGTATTTTATACTGTATTAAACAATTACTGTAATGTTCTTCATTTAAATGATGAAAAATATTGATTGATTTTGCATGTTTTGGTATTTTCTCATGCATTGTATTGGAGGTTGTCCTGGTGTAGCTATTTAAAATCAAGTTTGGTTTTAAAGGGTTAGTTCACCCAAAAATGAATATTAGGCTGTGTTTTACCCCTGATGCATCCTAGGTGTATATGACTTTCTTCTTGCAGACGAATCCATTCGGAGTTATATAAAAAATTGTCTTTGATCTTTCAAGCTGTATCATTGCAGTCAGCGGGTATTGCATGCTTCAGTCCAAAAGAAGTTAAATAAAAAGCGCCCATCCATAAAAAAAAGCATCTCACACGGCTCCGGGGGGTGAACAAAGGCCTCCTGTAGCGAATCGATGCGTTTTTGTAAGAAAAATAACCATATTCAAAACGTAATAATCACTTTAATCTAGCTTGCGCCAACAGTTGCACACGGAAGCAGTTCCGGGAGCATCATGTATGAGGTCAGCGTTGCGCATGCGCCGGTGAGTCTCGTGAAAACCAACGTTTGTTTACAGGAGCAAAGGAAGCAAAGTTTCCTTACTTTAGCAAAGGAAAACCAGTCTCCTCTTGGCTTATATCGAAATCCTCTGACATTCTTCTTTACAAATCCTCGTTTTGTACTTCTAATTAGTGACCGTTGTTTTGTTTTCATCTCTCCCCTGCGCTTACGCGTGCGTCACTTCTGAGCGGCACATGCGCAAAGCTGAACTCGTACGTCATTCCCCCTGAACTGCTTCCGTTTACAACAGTGAGCACAAGCTAGATTCAAGTGATTATTACATTCTGAATATGGATATTTTTCTTATAAAATGCATCAATTCGCTACAGGAGGCCTTTGTTCACCCCCCGAAGCCGTGTGAGACACTTTTTTTATGGATGGGCGCTCTTTATTTAACTTCTTTTGGACTGAAGCACTGCAACACCTGCTGACTGCAATGATAGAGCTTGGAATAGCCAGGACAATTTTTTATCTAACTCCGACTGGATTCGTCTGAAAGAAAAAAGTCATATACACCTAGGATACCTCTGGGGTGAGTAAAACACAGCCTAATTTTCATTTTTGGGTGAACTAACCCATTAAGACTTTTAATATGTTGTATTTTTATATAGTCTTATAAAATCTTTTAAAAATGAAGAGGTTTGTCAACCGTGCCCACCCCAAATTTTCTACAATATTCTGGTCTCTAGATATGACTTGGGTACCCCGTTCCATTTACAGTAAGTTTGAGATTTAAGTTTGCTATTTTACTGTACACTGGGGGAAAATTGCAAGGTTGGTCTCTTAAAAATGAATAACGCCGATTTTGTCAATAATCTGGTACATCAAAGGTTGACATTCTATTATTCTGAAATTATTCATTTGGTCACTCCAACGATTATCAGAGGTGTTGGATTCTGAAAGATTAATTGACAGAAGATACTGAGCAGGTGGAGCGATAATGGAGGTCACTTTGCACATTTATCGAGCACTACTCAAATGATGTAGTAATTGATCTCTACGGGGATTGGGCAGGTCTTTGGAATAGATTAGCAGCCGATTAAAATGCTCTGTCTTTAGTAGTACACGAGGGACGGTCGTGTATGACAATGTGTGGATTTCATTAACAAACTTTAACTTGAAGGTTAACACCTCGTTCTGTATCTCAGCATATGGCCAGAGATGTAAGGCTCCTGAGGGCCAACACATTTATTTCTCATTACAGAAGGTTAAACATTTTACTAGACAACTGAAATCTAACAAAATCATGTGCAGGTCCAAGTTTGAATTTAGGACTTTTAAAATGTTATTAATTTATTTTTTTAAATATTATATTTTTGCATTGTGACATATTTTATCAACAATTAAGTGCAAATTACTGTAATGCATTCGGGCATTCATTAATGTAATGTAAAAAGAATGTCAAGAACAGTAAGTAAGTAAAAAAAATACTGTTCTTGACATTCTTTTTACATTACATTAATTAATTATCATACAAATCGTCATGATGATTCACAGTGCAAAAGGGTAAAATAAATAAATAATCAATCTAACATAAGAATAATGTTTTTTGAGTATTTTTAATATTTTTGCTTATTTCTTCTGATTTTGGGGGGAATAAAAAGACTTATGAGATTTATCCACATAAAGAAAGCAAAAAATACAAATATATGTCAAAAGAAAATTCACAGTCTGTACTTTACATATTTATAGAGATGATAATGAGCAAACACGTTTTACAGTAGCAATTTGTAAATGGTTCCTCAACCGCATTAACATTTAAAAAGTCACACTGTGGTCAATTAAATGCTTCAATATGCCAGGATATGTACAGG